TTTGAAGGCATTCCAGAAACACTTTCTCAAAAAGGAAACGAATGGCCTGTCTCCTCCCCAACCTCCAAACTGACTGCAAGCAAAGCCCCCAGGAGGGATTCTCGCCCGTGCTGACCGCTCCCCTGGGGGGTGGGAGGTACTTGAGGGGGAGGGCTGGGTTCTGCCCTTATTCATGGCCAGTGGCAGCAAGGAAAACAAGAAACCTAAAAAGATAAATAAAAGACAAAAACCAGGTTAGAACCTAAACCATGTCGTTAAAGGTCCCTGATTGTCCAGCATTTAGTCCTGGGACAGTGCCTGAGTCCCCTCTTCTGCAGACAGCAGGACCCCCCTCCCCCACCCAGTGCTGCTTTCCCCGTGTCAGTTACCTGCGGTCAACGCAGGTCCGAAAATACTAAATGGAAAATTCCAGACATAAACAATTCATAAGTTTAAATGGAGTGCTATTCTGAGTAGCGTGATGAAATCTCTGCCCCAGGCATGAATCATCCTTTAGCTGTATACGCTGCTGCCAGTCACTCAGCAGCCACCGCCGTTATCAGATATTTTAGGAGAGAAGGAGGGAGAGGCCACATTCACATAACTCTTATTACAGTACATTGTTCTATTTTATTATTATTAGCTTTTTAAATTTCTTTATTGATTAAGGTATTACATATGTGTCCTCATCCCCCCATCACCTCCCGAATCCCCCCCACTCATGCCCTCACTGCTCCCCCCCTGCCCCTCCCCCGTTGTCTTAGGCTTATAAGCATGTATACAAGTCCTTTGGTTGATCTCTCCCCCTATTATTAGTTACTGGTGCTAATTTCTCCCTGTGCCTAATTTATAAATTAAACGTTATCATAGGTAGGTAGGTAGGAATGTATAGAAATAACTTATATATATGGGTCCCAGGTATCCACTGAGGGTCTTGGATGGTATCCCCAGATAAGCAGGGAGGACTTTAATTAAAAAGAAATCTGTGGCAAAGAGCTACTCATTCCTCCCTTCAGGGTATCCAGGCTCATGGTCATTTGCTTTGTTTGCTGAGTTTTCCTTTATATAAAGAGCCTTAATTCTGGAAAATATTAGAGCAATGTGCTGGCCTCCGGCTGTGCTCTAAGAAAGGGATGTGGAACTTCCTAATCTGTTTCACAGATGGGCAGTCCTGGCAGCTGGGATGAAGGGACTGGGGCTGTGATTGGCTGTTCCAAGAACCCTCCTTCCCTCAGGAGCCAGCCGCTGTCCCCTCCCCCAGCGCCAGGTCGGCTCTTGCAAAAAAATGTCTGATTAGCTTTTGTTTTTTAATAATAGCTTAGCACCATGTGGCTGCAGCAACTGGTGTATAAGCCACAGAGGGAGGACCACCTGACCTTGAGCTTCTAGACGGGAAGCCAACACACAGTGGGCAGTTTACTGTACTCCTCAAATCTAATGAATCAATGTGAAAAACAAAGACCCAAGTTTAGATATGGGTTGGGGACATCCATAGGAGTTGCTTTGGACTTAATATGCTGTTAAATGACTTTCTGTCTCCCCGCTCCCCAAATATATTTTTATTGACTTCAGAGAGAGGAAGGGAGGGGGACAGGGAGAGAGAGAGAGAGAAACATCAATGATGAGAGAGAATCATTGATCGGCTGCCTCCTGCACATCCCACACTGGGGATCAAACCCACAACCCAGACATGTGCCCTGACTGGGATCTCCTGGTTCATAGGCCCACGCTCAACCACTGAGCCACGCAGGTCGGGGACGTTCTGTCTTTTTTAAAGCCTGGGGGAGTGCTTGTGGTCCAGGTACAAAGTGGAGGGAGCAGCTTTTTGTTTCCGTTTGTGTTGGTGTATTTATTCTCTTTTGTGCTTCTTTTCGTTCATCCCAACCTCCCAGAGGCAACCACTAGAAATGGTCTTATGTGTATTATTCTGTCTGTAAGTGCTCTTAGAAAAGATATTGTTGGTTTGTGTGCAAACTTTAATTTAAAAGATGTTTGTACGTGATATGTATGCCATGCATTTTGTTGTTTCCGTTTTCAAGCACAGCATTTAGGGTCTACCTGTGTTACCATCTGTGTGGCTAGTTTGCATGGCACTCCATGGCAGGCACCCCAGTTTATCTGCCCTCCCCTGCCCCCAGGAGGGGACACTGGATTGCCTTCACCTTCCCACCACACACACATTGCCTCCAGGAACATCCTCCTGTGAGGCCCTTAGGAGGCCCTGTGCCAGTTTCCATGGAGACATAACCAGAACTGGGGTAGCCAATTCGTAGGGTGTAGGTAACTAGGTTTGACCCAGTGGGCCAAACTGCCCCCCCCCACACACACACACACCCTCAGGCTGCCTCTGGGCACCCTCCCACCAGCCATGCAGGAGCAATCTCGACTGGCCCTGCCCACTTTCTAATTCATTGCTGTCTGCTCATTGTGCAGGGGTACCTCACTGCTTCCTTTATTGTGTTTCTCCAGTTGCTCATGGGGCTGAGCTGGCCTTCAGAGCTTTTGGCATAGAGACCTGTGCAGTGCTCACGGCGGTCCCCTCGGCCCGGCAGGCTGGCTGGCCTTCTGTAATACAAGCATCCTTTAAATGTGGTTGGTTTAATAATGTCCTGATAGGAAACGTGCATTCTAGCGATCATTTCTGATCTTGAATTACGAAACTGTTTGTGTTTACATCCTAGTAAGACTCCTGTCTGCCCACCACATGCTTCTCTCCATTTCCAGTCCCCACCTTGGTTCACCTTGGTCACCTGGCCCCTGCAGTCCCTGCACCACCAGCTCGCTCCTTCCATCTCAGAGGTATCTTTTCACAATGCTTCCTTCCCGCCCAGGGCTTTCTGTTTCTCTAAGCATAAACCCTCGCTGGAGCCTGCAGGGGCCGCTCCTGCCTCTTCCTGAGCCCATCCTTGGCCCCCTGACTGCTCCTCCCGCCTTCAGCCATCTGCTCCTTCTGTGCTGAATGATTTCCCAGCTCCCCTCCCGAAGCCCCAGCCCCACCCCCCAAGGCAATGCCTTTTTCATCTTCAGTGTTCAGCTCAGAAGTCCAGCTCACGTTCCCATCCCGAGGCTGGGTCAGTTCTCCGGGACCGTTCATAGCTCTTCCGTCACCCACAGTCAGGTTCCACAGTGATGGGCCTAAGTCCCCTCCGGACCTCACCGCCCAGGGGCGGGGCTTTCTGTTGTGTTCCCTGGACTCTGCACCTCGCACAGGCTCCCAACCGGGAGACACCCAACGCATCCTAGGGCGGATGTTGGACAACAAAGACCTCTTTATGGCAGAATAACTTTAACCCACACAGAGCACAATCCTAAAGAAACGGGAGCAGGAGACACTTTGCACAGACAGTGTCCCTGATGAAGGCCCGAGGCCGAGGCCCCGGCCCCAATGCCATTTATCTCAGGAGATCAGCCAGCAGCCTCTGGGGAACTTGTGACTCAGAGGAAGGGAGAAAGGAGAGGCCTCAGGGGGAGATAAAAGGGCTGCATCCTGATAAGTGACAAAGTGCCATCAAAAATATAAACATCTTATTTTGAACAAAATGTAGACGCTTTTAAGAAGCCTAATTAAAACAAAGTAAAGAAATCAAATCGGGAGGCAAATAGCTCGCAGGCTCTGCCGCCACCCGGTCTCCCGACACAGGATACGCATCCCTGCTCGCTTCCTGGTGCTTCCAGAAAGCCGTGCAAAGATAAGCCTTTTACTAAAAATGTTACGTGCCTGGGGCGGGTCCTCACCATGACCTGCCCAGTCAGGAATGTCTGATCAGATCTTGCTTGTCGGCACTGCGAGTCCTCAAGTGAGGGAGCCATTGAATCCTGATGCGACCGTCACTGGTCCTCAGAGTTCTCCCTGTGCACTCTTCCCTGGGCGATGGCATCAGATTCAGTGGCTCCTCCTGAATCTGCTTCTATACACCCAGCTGCCTCCGGGGCGGCTGCGATGTCCCCCTGCATCAAAGATTGCACCTGCCAACTCGCTTCCTCCTCCTCTTCTCCGGAATGACCCTGACCCCACTCACCCCACTAGCAGCCTGAGGGGCATCCCTGACTCCTGGGTAGTATCCCCTTCGAGGGGTATTGCTTCTGGCATCTCAAGGGTGTGTTAACCTAGATGCACATCTTAAATGGCAGCCTTTCACTAAGGAATTTATGATCAGATCTCCCTGTGAAGTTACTTCCGTAGAACCCCATTTTTACCCACAACTCCATTCCCACGCCTTTGCCTAGCCAGCACCTGCTTCTCAGAGAATTAGTTGAGGCTTCACCTGCCCTAGAAAGCCTGCTGGTAGGCCGCCCTCAGCCACACTGATGAGCTAGCTACACCACGTGTCCACTCAAGAAGCAGGTACAGTGGGCCTTGACTTACGAGTTTAATTCGTTCGGAGACAGAGCTTGTTAAGGAGCTCGTTAACTCAAATTACTCTATCAACTCCATGCAAAAAATCGGCCGAGAGACAGCTGGTATCTCAAAAAACTCGTTAGTCGGGACACTCCTAAGTCAAGGCCCCACTGTACTGGTAAGACTGGCCTGGATGTTACATCTCCTGGGTGCCTGCCACAGGAGCAAGCAGACAGCGAATGAGTGAGAAGACAGATGTTTATGAATTTTGTAAATTGAGGTAAAAATGTTTCAGTTTACACTGGAACTTGTTTTAAGATTGAAAATGAGTCCTAAGCAAATTACTCCTGGGCGCTGGGTGCTCCCCTCCCCCCAGAAACATTGACAGATACACTCATGTGTTTACATGTTCTTTACACAAATGCCTGCCACAGGATCCTACCCCTCCATTCTCCAGTTTCCCGGGATCTTTTAAGAAACTACAACAGTAAGGGATGCTATCTGGTCTAGTTAAGACAAAATAACCCTGATTGGTTATTATGTTCCTGGGATGAGCCAAAGGAAATGGATGTTTCCAGAATTAACTTAATCGGGATTATGTGAAATAACCTCAGCTCCACGCAGCACAAACTTCTCTCTTCTCTAGAAAATTCTCCTTTTACTGAGTGATCATTTAGCACTAAAAAATGATAGAAACAAAAATAGATGATGGTGTCCGGCCAGCATGGCTCAGTTATTGAGCATCAACCTATGAACCAGGAGGTCACAGTTTGATTCCTGGTCAGGGCACATGCCCTGCTTGTGGGCTTGATCCCTAGTGTGGGGCATGCAGGAGGCAAAGGGAAAAAAAAGATGATGGCAAACAATATAAAGGTCTCCTAAACAGTTTAAATTGCTTTAATGGTCTGGGCATATATACTCTAAAAATATGCATTGGGATCAATTCAAAAGTTTAAAAAGGCTGAACATGCATGTCCAAAGCGTAGAAGTATGTCTGTTGTGGAAGCTGCAAGAGAAGGAGAGGCCCTAACAGCTGAGGTCTGGTCCAATGGCAGTGATTCATCCTGTCCCACCTCCGACCCACTGGTAGCTCCCTGTGCCACACCTGAGTATGGGTGTCCCCTGGATCGAAGCTGATGTATCATCTCCTCCCAGACTCCTTCCTCGACCACCTGTTGGTATACACAGACACCGGGGAAAGCCCTGAGATGGAAAACCCACCTCTGTAAGGAAGGCTGGGAAGCACTGAAGAAAGGGCAGGCCACTCCAGTCTGCCAGTTTAGTCTGTTAAGGGAAATTTACATTCGAGGCAAGTCTTGGCCTAAAGAATTATATGGAGCAGGGCAGGATGGGTGGGGTGCCGGCGTCAGAGAATGGAAACTGCTTTACCTGCTTGCCCCGGGGCAGGGACCAGCACGCGGGGTGGGAGGTGGGGGGCACAGGGAGAGGGTCCATCAGACGGTCTCTGAGGGATTTAGGGAGACAATCTCTGTTCTGGCCCTGATCTAGCTCGTTGGTCTGGCAATGGTTGTGCCATGGAACAGCCTCTCCTCCACACCACCTCATAATAGTAAACGTAGTCACTCTGCCCCCACCACTCCATTTCTTCGGTTATCACCATCTGAAAACCATTATTTATTACTGGGTACATCTGTTCGACCAGGAGCAGAGGAGGGAGAGCGGGTCTGTCTCCCTCAGTGGCAGCCCTGGGCCCAGGACAGGGCGTGGACGGGCACTGAGGTGGGGGACGAAGGTCCTCCTTCCACAGCCCTGAACACACATCTACTCTCCTGCAGCTGCTCTCATACAGCCAACCTCCAGCCTCCATGCAACTGTTCCCTTTCTCATCCTCCCTCTTGTGAGTGGGTGTCAGCTAGCAGGCAACATGGCATGATCAGACCAAAATACGAGATCTTTTCTCCTAAAAAACACCGATGTTATTCAGGTACGACTGTGACAGCAACCATTTCCGTGCCATGTTATCCCAGGAGTGTGAGTTTGGGGTATGCAGATGTTAGCAGAGCTTCCACCGGCTAAGAGTCAGTTTCTATATTCCAGATTAATTCAAAGAAGGAATGTCAAGTTGACCTGGAGTTCACCACAGAGCACTACAACCCAGAGGTAAGCTGCTGTCATTCATGGAGTCTTTTTGTTGTTGTTGTTGTTAATCCTCACCCCCCTACACAGGCCGACCAGGGCTGGGGATCGAAACTCCACCCTCACCTCCCCAAGTACATGCCCTTGACTGGAATCAAACCGGGAATGCTTCAGTCCTTGGGGCCGATACTCTATCTGAACTGGTATCTTATTAGCAACTCGTATGAATTTATTTTTCTGAGTAAGAATACTAATATATAATGATGTAGAGGTGGGTTTTTTTCTGCCTTTGTTTTCAAGAACGGAGGAGCCGAGCAAGGCAGGACCTCGATTCCACTCCTGCCACGTCACGGCCTTTTGGGGGGCTGCATGCACAGCAGTCCACCCAGCACCACCCTCCTTCCTCAGCCCGGGAGGGAGTTTCAACAGCTCCCTCTGGTACCCCTCCCTAGCACCTCAGAGGCCTCCGAGTGACTCACTCTCAAATGCCAACCTGTTCCTCTGCCTGTCAGCTGGTGACATTTCTCATTAGCAGAGCAGCAGAGCATGCGGCCAGCTCCAGAAGCTGCCTTACATAGAGGCTTTCTGTGAGACACACGCGGGACCGGTGCTTGCCATAGGCGTCTGTAGCCCCTACATCTGACCAGGCACCCAGGGTTTGCCAATTCCCTTTTCCCTGTTCCCAAGAAGAGAGTAAACAGAGAACATACAGTAACTAGACCAGACGAACTTCCATGCGCTGGGCGAGGCTGGGAGGCAGCAGCAGGGTGGAGGCCAAAATCCCCTCTCCGTGGTGCTGAGTGGAAGCGGCCAGGGAAGAGCAGGAGGCGGCCAGCATTGAAAGGTCTTGGGTGGCAGAGCTGGGGGTCAGGGGGCACAGCCGTGACCCCCCAGCCCGATGCTTCTGGAACAAGGCTGCCAGTATTCAGAAACAAGCCCTAACAAGACAACAATATACTCTCACGTAGCTAATTCACCTAAGAATTAAAATGTTTCTTAAAGCTTAAGGAAGATGCCTTTCATTTCTAGAGCTGCAAACTGAAAGCATTGGATTAAAGCTAAAGGGGAACAATTACTAGATTATTTTTGATCAACAATATGTGTCTCTGACGAGCACAGCTCGCTAATTGAAGTGTCCCTGTCAGGGGGTGAGGAGTCTTTCATCTCCAGACAACGGCTTTGATTCTGTGGCGCTGTTCTGGGGGGTAGAGAGAGGAGAGGAAAACAAAAAGGGGCGATACCTGGTTTTCTCTCTTCCTTGGAAATGGCTTTGACATCAAAGCAGACTGTGTGCCGGCCTGGTTCTGCCTTTGGTAATCCTCTTCCTGACGCCCGCCACCTTTCTCCACGTTGCACTATTTATCAGGATTTTCACACACCACGGGCATCTCCTCTGGTTCACAGCTCTCGGAGGAACAGTTGCCCGCTGGAAGCCCATAAGCAGATCCCATTTTAATAACAGTTTGTTTCCTTGGGGGCTTTTTTTCTTTTTAAGTTTATTTTTGGTTGTTGTTGACATTTGAAACTCTTCCAGTTTAAAGGACTGAAAACGTGAAAAGAATTCAACAGCTTAACCAACCACATTGTGACAGGGGCCCATGAATGGGTGTGAGTGGGGCCATGGCTAGAGGCCCGGGAACTTCCTCAAATTCCAGGCCGTGTTGTTGGGATTTTTCTGGGACTAGGCTCCCTGGCTTTTGACGTGGGGTTATGGACTGTGTGACCTTTGCAAAAGGGTGAAATGAGTCAGACGCTTGAGTGCCTTTGAAGCACCCCCTCTCCCGCCCCAGCTGTCTCTGGGTGGAACATTGGGGTGATCCCAGAATGCTCAGCACATGCACATTTACATGTGAATGCAGGCAGGCACAGCTAGGTCACCCTGTAGTTGGATTAGTCCCATGTGGGTGACTTCTGCCTCCACTGCATCTGCATTAGATGTGAATGGACATAGAGTTAGTACAGAGCCAGGGCTTTACAAGACAGACGTGAGCTGGAGCCGTGGCCCACCACTTCCTGGCGTGACATGCAGTAGCTTCCTCTTTAAACTGCGGTATCTTCATCTGTAAAATTGGGACAAGACCGAGTTCATAGGGCAGCATGAAGATGTGGCCATTTTTACTCATAGGAACCAGCTTCACCTTCGGGTTCCAGTTAGAAAGCTGGAGATCCAGCTCGACATGTTGGTCCACAGCAGAGTAAAGCGCCCGCTCTCCTCGAGGCTCGAGCAGGCAGTACTCACGGGCATGGCTGGTGTTTCTCTGGGACAGGCCCAGCATTGTTTTGTAAGAGAATCATTTTTTTTTTAATGGATTTTTAGAGAGAGGAAGAGGGATAGATAGAAACATCCATGAGAAAGAAACATCATCTATCGGCTGCCTTCTGCATGCCCCATTACTGGGGATCAAGCCTGAAACCTGGGCATGTGCTCGGACCCAGAATTGAATGGGCAAGCTCTTGGTTCCGGGCTGCAAGAAGGACAAGAAGAGCAGCAAGGATTAGAAAATCTATTTGAAGAAATAATGTCAGAAACCTTCCCACAAATAGTTGGGACAAAACCGAGTTCATAGGGCAGCATGAAGATGTGGCCATTTTTACTCATAGGAACCAGCTTCACCTTCGGTTCCAGTTAGAAAGCTGGAGATCCAGCTCGACATGTTGGTCCACAGCAGAGTAAAGCGCCCGCTCTCCTCGAGGCTCGAGCAGGCAGTACTCACGGGCATGGCTGGTGTTTCTCTGGGACAGGCCCAGCATTGTTTTGTAAGAGAATCATTTTTTTTTTAATGGATTTTTAGAGAGAGGAAGAGGGATAGATAGAAACATCCATGAGAAAGAAACATCATCTATCGGCTGCCTTCTGCATGCCCCATTACTGGGGATCAAGCCTGAAACCTGGGCATGTGCTCGGACCCAGAATTGAATGGGCAAGCTCTTGGTTCCTGGGTCGACTCTCAACCGCTGAGCCACACCAGCCAGGCAGAAAGCAGGAGTTTAAAAGACAGCAAAGAATGAAGGACAATTGTGTTCAGCTATGAGCACAAAAATCACTTTCTATAAAGCAAAGACCACTACATCTGTTGAGCCAGTGATACCTGCCATGTACAAGGAACTTCTCAGTTTTGTGTGTTTGTGTACTGGGGTGGTGGGGAGAAGGAACCAAGCTATTTAATTCCAAACTCTTTATTTCAGGAAGGCGAGGAACGTTTGGGGAAATGTTCCGCTCAAGTATTTTTCAAGAATGAGAAACCCAGGCCCACCATCAATGTCACCTGTATGCGGTTCATGGAGAAGAGCAAAAGACAGCAAGAGGATTACCTGCTCTACAAGCACATGAAGCAGCTCAAAGACCCCTTGGATGTCATCAGCATACCTGGTATGGACCAGCTGATCTGGAATGTCTCTGTCCAGGAATGCATAAAATTATGAAGTCTTAAAAAAAGAATGATCATTTAAGTTTTTATCCCCCAAATGGCACTTTAATCCAACTATAAAATGTGGCATTTAAACAAAACTTGTTATTTAAACAAAACTCAGAAGTACATTTTCCTGTTCTTCACCTCCAGTACAATGTAGGATCTGTGCTCTCCAGGACCTGGGCAAGGCAAGAGGTGCCTCTCCAAGGAATGGGTAGAAGTCTTTGCAACAGGACACATATGTAGGGGTGCACTTTTCCGGGGAGAGTCTAGATAGAACCTGAAGTGACATTGCTAGCAGTTTCTGGTGGTGGCTTTGGAAACTCGAGGTGACCCCATCCAGGGCCAGCACTGTGCCCATCACGGTCGTCTGCCCCAGGGCTGAGCAAGCCGACCGTCGTGGGGCCTTCTTGGGGGGGGGGGGGCGCAGAGGAGTCGAGTTGATCTTATTTTAGAGCGAGAGCTAATGGGCAGCGGTGCCATCTCTAATAAGAGACTTGCCCTCTGCCCTGAGTGACTCAGCGGAGTGGAGCAGAGCCCATCTGTTCTGGCACTCAGCAGGGTGCGGGCAGCATGGACGCTCAGCTCTTACCGGCAAATTCTATTTCCAAACCACAAGAGTCACCTCTGGATCTGCACTGGGGTATTAAGCTTGACATCTGACCAGTGCTGCAGCACTTCCCTTCCCACCGCCTGTCACAGTTCACTTGTTCGCTCAGAGACCGGGACAGATCTGCCTCAACGTGGGGGCCCACGGTCTCCATTCCTGAGCTGTCTGTGCCCCGTCAATGTTCTTAAAACCCGAGGCGGGCTACGACGCCCGCGTTCCTCAAGTTCAGAAGCTCGGATAACTCTTATTGTAGCTCTCCGACGACTTAGATGAAACCCTGTTCCAAATAATTGTGAGGAGCAACTCAAATCCCATGTTATAGAATTTGCTTATATTTAGCACTGCCTGAAATATACGGGCTAATGGCAAATACTTTATATAGTTATTTAGGGATTTTTCTTCTCCTCTTGGCATTAGTTGGGGAAATAGGGTTTTATATATCCTCCTTAAAACACAAATTTTAGAAAATGTATAGGACCTCTTCTTTGAAGATTTGCCACAATATCACTAGATTTTGGACACTTGTTAGTAGTGCGGGTTAATTGGTTCTTGTTCAGTTAATAAAGCCTGTATGCCCACAAGGGTCGTTCGATAACAAGCCATCTCAATGTGGCTACTATGAAGCATCAAAAAAAATTTTTTTAACAGAATGTACCTCTCATCCACAAAATTTACAGTTCTCTTGCCACTTTCAATTCAGCAGAGACATTTAATGGTGCTGTTTATAGCCTGTCCATGTATATAAAATTATCTACTTAGAATGGGAAAAAAGAGTTTGGCTTTAGACGAAGTGAATAAAAACCATGGAGATATCCGTGGAGTAGCCAGTTCCAATCTCAGCGGATTCTCCTGAGCTGTTCATCTGTCCACGGTTCTGGGCCATCATAGAGCAGTTTCTCTACCATTGATGTGAGACCATCAAATCCACTTCAGGATATCCTTGCTGCACATTGTTTTCCCCCTAGAAGAGTTGTCTGGATTTTATTATGTGTAAAAATGTCACCTTTTCTAATGAATTCATAAGCTTCTATTAGACGAGCCCAAGTCTACTGCAGACGAAGGAAAGGACTGAGGCGAAGTCCTCCTCTGGGTTCTAGGGCAGGGCCACCAGCATTTATACTTTCAAATTTCCTTATTAGTCACTGTGTTCAGTTCAACTAATTTATCTTCTCTGCTAATGGGTTGTCATCTCACAAGTCCACGAACAGTTATCACACAAATTACTTGCTAAAATGTGAGTTCCTAAAAGTCACAAGAGGTCCTTTATTAATCACTGTATCCCTCCTTCTAGCGGTGTCTGATATTAAGTAGAGTTTTTTGGCAAATGTTTGCGGAATTAAAAAGATTGCAGGTACAAAAACGCCGCAGGAAAAACCCCCTGATTGATGTGTTAAAAAGTGATAGAAATGTTGCCAAAGCGTTGATCAGAAATGGACAGACATCAGGCAGGTCGGCAGAGACCTTTCTGTGACTATAATGACAGTAGACCCCAGACCAGGTTATGTGGCGAAGATCACCGAGAGATGTTTTGATCTAATTAGGAAAGGCTTCTCAACTAAAAGATGTTAGATGAACTGAGCATCATTATAGCTCTTCTTTTGCATTTATATAGCACAGCACACGGCCATGACACTGTCTTATAGCAACCTGACTCGAAGCACGTAAATCTCAGTATGATGTAGAAAGAAACAAATATTGCTCAAGGTCCTGCTGTGAGAGAGATGGCTGATATGACTAAGCCCTTATTTAATTGCTGAAATTTCTGAAGTTTTTTCCCAAAATGCTTAATATAATTTTGTGTGTGTGTGTGTGTGTGTTCTCAGACAGTCATGGACATATTGATCCCTCGCTCAGACCCATCTGGGACTTAGCTTTCCTTGGCAGCTCTTACGTGATGTGGGAGAAGACAACGCAGTTCTTACACTACTACATGGCCCAGCTCAGCAGTGTGAAGCAGTGGGTAAGGAAAATGGAACATTAACTTGTGCCACAAGAGATAAAACCAAATGCAGTGTGCTTAGACTAAATTAATGTGAGTTTCCAATTTCACAGCAAGAGTTTTAATTGCATTTCACTCATTCAATAAATATGCGAATGCTTGCAATGGGCCAGGGGATGGATATAGCAGAGGACAGAAAACACAGTGCAGCTGCCCATAGGGAGATGAATTCTAGTGAGGGAAGACAGTGAACAGATGAACAGGCAAAGATGTATCAAATGGTGGTGAGAGCTGTGGAGAACAATTAAGTATAGTCTAAAGGAGGGCCCTTCAGAGTTGAGCAGAAGTGACGCTGGAGCAGAGGCCAGAGGAGTGACAGCGGGCCCTGCTCCCACAGGGAAGAGGCCTTCCTGGTGTGGCCGATGGGTGGAGAGAGATCAGCGAAGCCAGTGTGGTGGGAACGGGGGTGGGGTGTGGGGTAGGGGGGGCAGGCCAGGAGGGGCCAGTAGTTCATGTCAGGCCCGGAGGCTGTTAGAAGATTTCTCTCTCTTTCTCTCTTTCTCTCTCTCTCTCTCTCTCTCTCTCTCATTATGCGACGTTAGCTGAGGAGTGACATGCTCTGACTTACAATAGGATCATTCTGGCTGCTCTGTTGAGAACAGATTGTACAGACACGAAGGTGGAAGCAGGACAGCCAGTAAAGCACTGCAGTAACCCAGGCACGGCCTGGCGGGAGCTGGGCCAGGGGGTGGCAGTGCAGGTGGTGAGACACTTGGATTGAGGATATGTTCTGAAGACAGGCTGATAGTATTTGCTGATGGGTTGGGTATGGACAGCAGAGGGTGAGAAAAGTTGAGGGTGATTTGTAGGATCTTGGCCTGAGTAACTGGAAAGGGAGATTTCATTAACTGATTGGAGAAGACTACAGGAAAAAACAGAATTAGGGAGAAACTAGCTTGATTTGGGGCACACTAATTTCTATGTCCAAGTAGAGGATATGTAGTCATCTGTACATAGGAGTCTCAGAACAGGGAAGGGCCGGGGCTGCACTTGTCACACGGTAGGTGTTTTTTTAGGCCATGAGACTGGCTATCACAGAGAATGAGTGTTACATAGAGCAGAAAAGGAATTACGTAAGGCTTGAGCCCTGAAACGCTTCTAACGTTAGAGGTTGGAGACAGAAAAAGTGTTTTAAGGATGAGAATCAACTGACTGTATCAAAAGCGGATGGAAAGTCGAGTGAGATGAGGACTGAGGATTAAGCATTTGATTCGGGCGGTGGGAAGTCAATGGGAGCTTATCACAGCTGTCTCCCCCGCACAGCATGGGCAAAGCCCGCCTGGATAGGCTCAGGAGAGAATCGGGGGAGAAGTGGACACTCCATCTCTTTTTAAAAGTTGGCTATAAAGGAAGTAAAAGAAAGGGAGGGGCTATAGCTGGAGGATGGGCAAGCACAGAGTTGAAAGAACGTTTGTTTCAGTTGTATTTCTAGGTTTCAGTTGTATTCTAAGAGATTTAGCAGTAGATTTATATGTTGATGAGGAAAATCCAGGAGAGGGGGCAAAGTGGACTTGTAGGAAGGAGATAGTTGGAGTTAATATCTCTGAGCAGGTAGGAGCAGGTAAGATCAATCCAGATGACCTGAGGCAGGACCGTGGAGAGCGCACCTGGGCAGGAGGCAGAGAAGAGTGGCCGAGATGCTGGGAGGAGGGTGGATGGCATGGTGGTAGGTGTGGAAGTTCTATTTCAAAGGGCTTATGTCTTCTAAGTGGAAAGTGAGGCAGCCACCAGTTGCAAGCAAGCGTGAGACAGGTTTGGGAGTGCAAGGACTTCAGCATCACAGTGCACTGCAGGCCCAGGGGTCATCTGTGGTCGTGGAGTTAGGGGAGGACCAGCCCCTTTTGGCTGGGTGGTGAGGGCATGGAGTGAGCCAGGATTAGAGTTCTTGTTAGGCAAGTGTGATGTAGAGAGAGAGGCATTTCCAGAGTAAACAAAATCAACTACTGTGAGAGGCAAGCTGGGCTGACCGCAAGTATAAATGTCTACAAATCACTTCCTTCATGCTATGTGAAGCAGTACATTCACCCATGGATGGATCCTTGCACTCTTGCATCACGTCAGCACTAGGAATGCCCCTAACACTCTGATGGGCCTTGCAGAGGCCACTTGTAGATCAGACAACTACAAACACAGTTTTTCTCTAGATAGACACTTCTTTCCCTTTAAATAGTGCTTTTTAATAGAAATTACCACTTAATTGGTTGTTGCTATATAACTAGATAAAACAACTCTCCCTCTTTCTCGCTCATCTCCCAAGACAATCATATCCTTAACAAGTCTTCCGCCCTGAGAAGTCAGGCGAAACTTTGTTTACGGTGTGGAAGGCGGTGCCAAGATAATGAACTCAAGGAAATAATGAGAGGAAAACTCAACAGGCGCCAATCAACACAGAGACAACAGAGAGGAAATTAGGATCTTTTAACATCAGTGTTTTCCTTTCTCTTACAGTTGTGCATGACACATTGCCAAAATAAGCACCAGGACATACCACAGTGCGGGAGCAGCCCATTTCTCTCCCGTTCTAGTCAGGCCCTCATCTGTCTACCCATGTCCCTCAACCACCCTGCACGTGGGAAAGTAGGAACAATGGAGTCGTGGAAAACAAAAATGCTGGTTCATCAGAAACAGTGTCACAGATTAGGAGCTTGAGAGTTTCTTGCGTTGTGGGGTTTGGGTTTGGGATGAATAACTGAATATGTAACTGACTTGCTGGGTCACCCAAGACAAATTACTTCATCTCTTAGGGGCCGTTAACGGAGGATTTACTGAAGTCCTTGAAGCTAACATAAATCTAAATCACTGAATTGGGAAATTTGGTTTCAAGGTTGATAACCCATTTCAGCTCAGAGTTCTATTATTTTTAAATTCTGCCATTCGGTGGCCACTAAAGATTCCTGTGATTTTTCAGCAAAAGCGGCAACGTAACAAAAAGCAGTGATTTTCACTGCATTTTAGAGGGGAAGGGGAAGAGAAAGAGAGAGAAAGAGAAACATTGAATGGTAGTTTCCCACATGCTCCCCAATCACAGGTCCTGACTGGACTGAACCCACAACCTAGGCATTTGCCCAGGCTGGGAATCAAACCCGGAACCTTTCAGTGTATGGGATGACACTCCTACTGACTGACCCACACCAGCCAGGGCCAACAATAATTTTTATTTTTATTTTATTTTGTTAATCCTCACCTGAGGATATTTTTCTGTTGATTATTAGAGAGTAGAAGGGATCGGGAGAGACAGAAAGAGAAACATCAATGCCAGAGAGACACATCGATTGGTTGCCTCCGGCACGAACTCTGACTGGGGGTCAGGGATAGAGCCTGCAACCAAGGTACATGCCCTTGACCGGAATTGAACCCGCAACCCTTCAGTCCACAGGCCAACACTATCCACTCAGCCAAATCAGGTAGGGCAAGCAACAATTTTTAAAAAGTCACTAAGATCAGAAAATCTAGGTACTGTCCCGAGAGACTGGAAGCAGGATGGCAGGGCTGATAAAGCCACAGCCGTCCAGTACAGAAACAGCAAGTGACTGGAGATGCTCTGTGGCCCTTGGTAGCTCGGAAAGCATAGCGATTATTGTTTTTCCAAATGCTTTCTGGGTGGGAATTACCATCTTTACACTTAGGGTTAAACTCACATTTCAATGCAAGTGTGTCAGAAAGTGCAGGCTTATAAACCCACAGCTTCATATAAGCAAAGCCTGAGGGGCGTGCGGGCTATGAAAGAAAGGATTGAATACCAATGTAAGACCATCTTACTGGCACAATTATTGCGTTAGAACCGAACAACGGATGTCATTCCCAATACCATGAGGACTATGCCAAGGGCAGGGGAGATACTTGCTGGCTAGAGAAGAAGAAAAAGGACAAGGACTTTC